TCAAAATGATTTCCATTTTGGGGGGATTAAATGACCTTTAGTTCACACTAGGGGGGGGTAGGAAAGTTGAACTGGTGCCCCAATATTAAAGTTTACTTTAGTAAGTACATGATTAGCGTATATTTTTTTCCTTTTTTAGACAATATTTTTTTAAATCTGCCCACACCCCTCTATGCCATCTCAACGCCCCCTAATTTTCTCTGGGCCTTCTACTGCTTCCCTAAAGTCTCAAACGCCCACGAGGTGGCATTATCGCCCACGTTGAGAACCTAGAATTCAGATCAATGTGACACTCTTCGTGAATGGAGATAACGGAGATGCAGAACCCATCTCTCTCTCTATATATATAGATGGGTTTTGCATCGCCGTTATGTATATATATGTGTGTGTGTAAGATAAAAAAAAATTTTAAACTCAGAATTATAATTTAAACCAACAATAGCCCTCAATTCCTTCTCTGTATTCTAAAAATAGAAATAATTTTTCTGGACTGCGTCATTTCTAAATCAATCCATCTCGTAGGACTTGCGTAACCCTGATGACGTAGCTAATTTGGTACTTGAACTCAAAATTTCGTGAACTGAAACCTTCCTCTTAATGAGCAACCTAAACCCAAACCTTCTGAACCTCCATATTGGATAATTTCGCTCTTTAGCTTCTACCTCTTTTCCTGTTAGGACGCTATTTCTCTTTACTCTATTCCTATCGCAACAGTATAAAAAATGTAAGTGTTCTTGAATAGGTACGATTAGAGTGCCAAGTAAACTGTAGCTGCAAATGCCAATTCAAATAAAGTTGAATATTTAATCTTACTCGGATATCACATTTCCTCTTTATTATAGATCCACGTTATTTAGCTCCAATCCTTTAGAATTTCGCAGTGTTGACTGGCATTTGGTGACAGTTGCTGAAATTTCGGCCAACGGTCAACGTTATGATACGTAAATACCTAAAAATCTTAAAAACCCTTTTAGATCACTTTTTCTTTGGAAGGGAAACAATACTAAGTATAATTAAGACACAATAACACGCAGAACAAATACTAATTCAGAAGTCAAACAACAAAAATCATGTGAAAATTTTGAAAATATAACGCTGATTTTTGTTGTTTGACTTCTGAATTAATACTAAGTTTATCAAAAAAGCCTTTCTTAAATGATGTTAGTAATAAAAAAGAAACCGTTTTATTACTATCTAGGAGTACTAAGAGAGACATAATACAATAATTTCTTTATTTGAAATTTCCTGTAGAAACAATATGCTAATTGAATAGATTTTTTTTGTAAGATGTACCTTTTCACACATAGTAGTTTAAATAGCCGGTTCTAGAACATAAAATAATGCAAAAGATTCTCATGTTCTATAAGAGAGTTTTGGCTTCCCTGCTCCGAGAAATCAATCCCACTGCAGGTTCACTCCCCCTTTGGGCACATCGTGGAAGTTCAACTTCCACTATTACCCTCCAGGAGAGCAGCGCACCACCTGGATACGACACCAGGCAGCACCGGTCGTCAAATGCTCCTACCAGTCGCTTGGGCGAGCCCGTCGCAGCGGGACATTACCCAGCGACCCCGGAGGAGACCCCCGGGTTACTAGAACCACGCCGCGCTAGGACGTGCCAGACTCCGGGGCCGGCCAATAAGTGACCTTTCCCAGAGCCTTCAGAACCACCAAGTTCATAAATTTTTATACCCCCGTGGCCGAGACTGCCTAGGTACAGATTCTATAGTACGGTCACCTCTTTTCTTCCACTTTAATTTTGTAATGACCCCAAAGTATATTTGGCTAAAATTCCATAAGCGGGGTAAGTTGGCGCCAAAGTATTTTGGCCTTCAAAATTTGGCGAATTTTTTAGGCGCACTAAATGAAAGCACTAAAATATGATTTTTAAACGTAAACAGAATAGTAACTTTTAAGTTTTGCAGTAGTGAAACGCCGTTATTTTATGTAAACAGAATAAATAGTAAGATGAGATGATAAAATACTAGATGAGTAAAACAAAGTCCAACATCTTTGCAAGTAAATGCATAGTCCTATATATATGTAATTCATCATAAAATAGTAGAATGAAAAATTCTTGTAAATAATTATTGAGGAAATAAATGATCAGAGCACTGCGAAGTCAGTTTTAAACGTAAACAGAATAGCAAATTATGCGTATTCAGCATCATAAACTAACTGAAATATTCAAGTTACTAGAATCGTCGTGGAATTCAACACACTAAACAACTTTCGTTCAAAGCTTTAAATATTCCACATCTTTCGATTGCCATATGCAAGAAACAAAACTAAAAAAAAATTAACTAAATAAAATTAAATGAAAACATTCATAAACTATAAACTTCATGTCATATGAAATCCAACATTATCCCACCAACAACAGCTTAACCTTCTGCAAATATTTATATAAATATAATATTAAACATATATATAACAGTAATATGAAGCAGTAAAACTTTTGGTACTTACGTATTATCGCAACCAGGCCAAAATTCGCATAAATTGCCAAATTTGGCGACCCTACTTACGGCAACCCTACGTGTTATACGTAGTTTTGTAAAAAGAGCATGTGGAGATTTACAAAATTTTCCTGCATTTTCGTGCAAATTTTTGTAATTTATGAGAAAATAGCAGTGTACATGGATAAAGTCAAGAGTGTGCGCAATGCCATTTTTGTGCAATTCTGGGATGTTTTTTTTTAAGTAAAAATAAGTCGACGTGTACATGGTTATGGAGAATACGGTTTTCAATCAGTGCTAAAAGCAATAGCCAAAAGATTTCCGCTGAAAAAATAATTCTGCAACTTATTCAAATTCGAAACCGGAAGGGTTTAATTGCTATTTTATATTTTAAAACAAAATAATATAAAAAACTGTATTAAAAATTATCTGTAATTAATAAATGTACATTTTCTTTCTATTCATACTTTTTTACTCAAACTTACAAATAGCGCCAACCTGGTTGAGATAATACGTAAGTACCAAACTTTTAAAAACAAACACAGTATTGCAAAATTAAATTAAAAAAAAATCTGGCTACACTAAATTCGCGCTCTTACAGTTACAGAAATAAAGCTCTAGGTTTGCCACAAGCAAACCGGCATACATAAAACAAAGGCCTTTCACTACTGCAAAACTTAAAAGTTGCTATTCTGTTTACGTTTAAAAATTAAATTTTAGTACTTTCATTTAGTGCGCCTAAAAAATTCGCCAAATTTTGAAGGCCAAAATACTTTGGCGCCAACTTACCCCGCTTATGGAATTTTAGCCAAATATACTTTGGGGTCATTACAAAATTAAAGTGGAAGAAAAGAGGTGACCGTACTATAGAACATGAGAATCTTTTGCATTATTTTATGTTCTAGAACCGGCTATTTAAACTACTATGTGTGAAAAGGTACATCTTACAAAAAAATCTATTTAATTAGCATATTGTTTCTGCAGGAAATTTCAAATAAAGAAATTATTGTATTATGTCTCTCTTAGTACTCCTAGATAGTAATAAAACGGTTTCTTTTTTATTACTAACATCATTTAAGAAAGGCTTTTTTGATAAACTTAGTATTAATTCAGAAGTCAAACAACAAAAATCAGCGTTATATTTTCAAATTTTTCACATGATTTTTGTTGTTTGAGTTCTGAATTAGTATTTGTTTGTATGTTTTATACAGCCGGAAACCACAACCAAATTAAAATCGCGCCAAATAAAAAACTCTCGCCAAGCTTGGCGCTCACACCGATTATTGAATTTTTACCGTATATTTCATCCATACCAGTCGTTATACATCAACTTGTGTTATATATAATTAAGTATCTCAACTCATATTACATATACATACTCATATATAGCAGTCAGTGTTGTGAACGCGTGTTTCATATTTTTACTGCCAGTTTACTAAAGTCAACTTGCGTTGATTGGTTTGGTTTGGTTTATTAGATTACGGCAAAGCACTCGAGGGCTATCTGCCTTAAGGGAGGGATGCCTTCGTGGAGGACTTTTTAAGGAAACTGGCTCGTATACACGTTACACATGGGGAAAACCACGAAAACACCCATGCAGCCAGCCCGTGCCAACCCATGCAGATTCGAACCTAGGACCGAACTACCAGTGTTCAGCGACGTTACCGCTCGGCCGCTGGTGGGCCCAACTTGCGTTGAAAGCATGTAACTGTGCATGCAGCATGTAACTGTGCATGTAACTGTACATGTAACTGTACTTGCATATAACTGTGCATGTAACTGTACTTGCGTTGAAAGCATGTAACTGTGCATGCTTTAGCCTCGCAGCTTTTGTACACTAATCTGTGAGATCAGTACTATTTAGCAATCCCACGTTTAACTACGCGATGATCTCACTGAGGCATAATTTGTTAAAAAACTAAAAACGCTTAAAATGCTTTTCTTGATAATATTTCGCTGCCCATCTTTTATAGAAGGCTTTTGTATACTGGAAAGAATGTAATATAATTTTGGTTTTGAGGATTATCTGCTTGAATAATCCAAAAACTATGTAAATGAATTCAAAGCTTGAGATAAAAACTGCAGAGATTTTATATTAATTTCTTAGAATGGTCTAAACGATTTTTCAAATTGTAGAGATTAAAAAAAGGAATAAAATAGTTTCTAGAGCGGTCATTGGCTGATTTTTCAAGGCACAGAACGTGTGAAAGCATCATCGCTTTACAAGCTGAAATAACTCTACTATTCACTTGCGCGCCAAGCTGTAAATCAATAGAGTAATTTCGAAAAACACACGCGTGTTTCGAAATTCGCTACACGCACACTCGTTCTTGTAGCGAACTCTTGTAACAAACGGCGCCTAAAGAGGGTATACCTTCATACAGGAGGCTCTTTCCGATCCTTTTGGGAAGAGAATTCAATTCGCAGGGATTTGTTAGAGATTGATAAGGATAAAAATCATTTCTCACCTTTGCTTTACAAGGTTTCGTTACCTTAAATGACTAAAAAAATTAATACATAAAATCAGGTATTATGACATACCATTCTTCAGCAGAGTTAATTGCCTTTGTGCTTCAGAAAGGGCATGCTTCCTAATATCTCCAATGAGCATCTTTTCTGCGGCCTTGTGCATATAATGGAGAAATTCACTATTGGTAATTTCATCAGAAGATCCAAATTCATCTTCAAAACCTTTAATCAGGTCTACATGTATTTTATTTAATATTTTCGACATTATATCCACTCCAGCTGAACTGAGTCTATGTTTGTGAAAAGATGTTTTCATAAGGTTTCTAAGTGCTTTATGATAGGACAACTTTTCATTAGAAGGCATGGTGTTCTGAAATGAATGAATAAATAATTAAATAAATATTTTAAATTTTCGTTACACACATTTAGAGAAAGGCAGCATGATTATTCTAAAATAACTGCTTACAAACAAGTTTCTTTGCAGATAATCACAAGACTTCGACAGCTAGATATCGTTACATTCAAATACTAGCAGCACCACTATATAATAAAAATTCTAAAACTTTCAAACTATTAAATCCTATAACAAATGATATTTGTTCTTAAATTACATACAGTTACAGTCAAGTTAAATACGAGATAAAATGTTGAACTAATTCTCAGGATAACTGCTATTGCAGTAGCCACAAGCATAATTGTTGCCATTAGGCTTTGCACCATGGTTGCGATTCTGTTATTCAGATTGCAACATGCCATGCGAGACTCGCACCAGACCGCACATCTAATACCATCTTGCAAAATGTGCATATAACATACCAATGAAGAGCTTTGAATTACACAGACATAATCATAAAATAGTTTATTTTACTTATTTTAATTAACATTCAGGTACACATAGTATACAACAGTACGCAATAATAATAATAATAGATATTTTGAAATCTTTAGAATTGTATCTTGCGCATTATGCTTAGCACCCACAGATATAGTAATAATAATAATAATAATAATAGTATTACTATATCTATGTTCGCACCTTGATAATAAAAAATATACATATGGGGGTGCTATTGCAATTGAAACTATCCTGACACTAATGATTGCCTAAAAGTTTTTTTCTCACTATTCATTATTGTGAAAACGGCTCAAAGGGGAAAGTCATACCTCGAGATGTAAATAATTATTCTGAATATAAATATTACCAAATGACTTCCTCTAGTTGAAAGATTTTAAAACCAAATATCAGTACCTAAGAGAAAAGAATGTTGCTAGTTTCTAAAACAAAAATTCCTCATAATAAATTAGATACTTACGGGCAAATAAAGTAAAATAATAATAAAAACAGCAAAACATTCAATTCAAAACAGTGCTGCACTATTCCAAAAATATGTTAACGCATTCTTTTATGAAACATTTCGTTTAATTTAACCTATTAACGAACTTATCATATGAACTTCCTTTTTATCAGTTTTCTACAAACTTTTCTACTTTCTAACTACACTAGTGATCATTAATTAAGGAAAAATCACAAGAATGATTATTACTCAAAAATTACATGCAGGATTTAATGAAACTGACATACAGTATACAAGACACAGTAAGGTATAAAACAGCATGCAAAGAAATTACCAGACAACTGTGGTATTATAATAAATGAATGAATAACAAAAATGAATAAATCGGGATATGGCAGTTTGGTATAGGAAAATTACCTTCAGTATTGAGTATGATCTTCCTTAGAAGTAATACAACACCTAAAGCGATGTGCGATGCTGTCAATTATATAGTCTATCAATTCTGTAGGAAGAGAAAGGCATTGCTCTTACAAAGCAGTTGCAAGCGTGTCAAGGGTCTGAAGAGGAGGACTGAGAACAGCTATACGCCTAAAGCATTCCAAACATGATCGATAGGATTCAAGTCAGGTAATGAAGCCGGCCACTCCATGCACTAAATTGTTTGCTGTTGAAGATTGTAACGTTGTGCGCCTCCAACTTGCACGCAACCAAGAGATGACTGTGAAAACTGTATAAAACACAGAGTCTTGTGAAGGGTTTAAGTCCCTTTTTATTCAACGTAAAAATTACAATTGCGTGCTCTTGACGCTCCCAGACTGTGCCAACTCGACAGTCAAATAAAAATAATAACCTGAAAAGAAACTAAAGACAAGACTCTAACTACGAGGCTCTCTAAAATAACTAACTCACTCACCGCGTTTTACAATACCGCTGCTAATTCAGCAGACTTGAAGCTCACTTGAACGATTAACACTACTTCCCGCCAAGCACATAGGCCGAAACGCGGGGTTCTTCAATTTCTCGCTAACTACCTCCGCGCTCGTGAAGTAAGAATATCACACACCGAACTCGTTTCCTTCTATTTAAATCATAATACTTCCGCTGATAATTTGAATGCTTGCGCGTTCTACTCAAATTTACATATTCTGGCATTGGCAGTTCCAGGGGAAAGTAAGGCTTGACAGGAAAGATAGTTTAAACTTAAAATAAATGTTAGTTAAAATAAATATAAACCCTACATTTGCCGCTGCCAGAATTTGGAAAACTTGGAAGCAGGTCCTACAAACGACCTGTTGTAAGTTTCTCTAATTCTGAACTAACTGGCGAGAACCTCGTTTACACAAAAAAATCTTATGTAACAATTTGTATACTAAAATTCTGTTGCTCGTTATAACTCTCTTTTCTTACAGCAACTTTTCCTGGACTTCATCAATCAATCTTGGTCTTTCCTTCCAGCATCTGGAAGGAATAAGTATCAGTATCTTTCTACATACATTATAATTTACACTTTCTTGACACAATAAATTTTTGTTTTTAAACGATTCGTTTTTCTTAGTTATTGCTTACTTCACATTCATTCAATTTTTCAAGCATTAATTTAACTTTACCCTGGCTCTCCACCGTGTGTGGTGTCAAACGGGAATATTCGTGTTTTAGTCTTACAACACTTCCCCTAACCACCATGATTTGTTAGAATTCAACGACCAAATAGACACACCTTACTCGACATTCTACCACTCAATGAGCTACTTTAATATTCTTAAAAATTCAAATGTAGGTGGAGAACCCTACAAAACACATTCATTCTAACTTCCCCCTCATTGATCTTAAAACATGCAGGCTTATTTAATACTTAAATTTTGACTTCATTGCTTTTAAGCATTCACTTTTAGCATCTACAATTTTATGCTTCTAGACTAAATTCTACTTTTACATAACATTCAAGTATTTACATACATTTACAAACTTTTAATACATATGCTTTTTACAATTTACCATAAAATGAATAAGAGAAAATAAATTTTTACTTTACTCATTCTTCGCCAAGCTGGCGGCACTGAAACTAAAATTCTTATTAATACAAGAATACGAAGTTATTTTTATCTTCGGCCAAATTTTGGCTTTAACATAACAGAATTAGTCTTTCGACCAACAGAAAATGCTTGTTTTTAGCTTTTACACTTAAAGAAAATAATACTTTTGCCTTAGCTAAATAAAGTAAAACAAAACTAAGTCTCAACCGAGACATATTGACTTTCGTCAAAACATAGAACTTCGTACTTATGCATAACATTTCGGAACAAAAGAGAAAAAAAAATTTATAGAAGGTTTTAACTTATCTTTGAGTTTTCGATGCTTGAAACTCCGTCATTCCGTTTTTGGCAAATTGGTCCCAAGTTAGAGGTTTCATGGATGTCAATCTTCTCCTTACTGATCCCTCCGAGTGTCGTCCACCTTGACTTTTTTTTGCGTCCTCTACATGCTGGCCTCTTGGCGGAGTAATCGTCTGGTTGTTGGCATTTTCCGTTTTCTCCCTGGGACGGCTGGTCTTGACGTCCTCCGGTCTGGAGTCCTTCTTGAATTTCTTCTGTTCCTCGTATTTTTGTGCCTCCTGTTGTCCGTTTCAGTTTCCGGAACGGCGGCCTTGCTGGCACCTGACTCTGTGGCCGTGTGCGCGTTCTCCTTGATGTATAATTTTTCCTGCATCCTTTGTAGGTGGTGTTTTTTCTCTTTACCACGGTTTCTTTACCCGGTGCATCTGTATTTTTGTTTTTCTTAAACGCTGGAGTTTGAAAATTATTTTTTCTTTTTGATACCGACGTCCGGGTTGTAGAAGGGCTAGGTCTCTCTTCAGTTCTCTGTTTCTTGGGTGGTGGAATAGTTGTTGTAGTCTCTGGACCTTCTACTTTCGTTTAGACTTGAGTCCTGCAAGAAACTTTTAAGGATTTCAAAATCATTTGGATTATAGTATTTTTTTCACCTGGTCGGGACTTGCTTTACAGATTTCCCCTCTCTCTCGTTCTTAAGATATAAGACTACTCCTTTGATTTCCTGAATTACATAGGGGCCTTCAAACTTTGGAGCTAGCTTTGCCATAAAATTGTCTGGGGCACTTGATAAAGAAAATTTCCGCTTCAATACTTTATCCCCAACTTTAAAATCTGCTTCACGGCGTTTTCTATCATAATATATTTTCTGCCTATTTTTCTTGCCGTATCCGAGGTTTTAAGCGCCTGATCAATTAGCTTTTTGCACATCTTTTTGTTTAAACTCCTGCTCTCTTTGTTGCACAAAGAATAATTTATCTAAAGGCGTAATTAACTTTTCGGCCTAAAAATAATTCTGCTGGAGTTTTTCCCGTAGTATCATGATGTGCCGTTCTTAAAGCATAAGCTAATTCATTTATGTAGCCATCCCAGCGCTTGTGATGTGTGCTCACGTAACTGCGAATTATTTTTACTATGTTTTTATTAACTCTTTCTGCTATGTTAGCCTGTGGTCTATACGGAACCATTTTGATATGGCGTATGCCAAGTCCATTGCATATGTTTTCAAATATTTGACTAATGAATTGTTTTCCGTTATCGCTAATGACTTTTATCGGTGCACCGTATTTTAAAATGTATCTGTGTAAGAATGCATCTGCGACTGTTTTGGCTGACGCGCGTTTAAGTGGAACAATTTCTGTCCATTTTGAAAAATGATCTACTATTACTAAAAGAAAACGATTTTTATTTAACTCGCTCTGGGGGAAGGGACCAAGGAGATCTATGCCTAAAATTTCATTCGGAAATGTAGCGCGAATGCTATTTAAGTACCCGGCCGGGCTGTAATTAATATCATTTATTAACTGACATTGATTGCAGGACCTGACATACGCCGTTACTATTTTGTATAATTGCGGGAAATATACCGCCTCGCGTACCCTTTTTAAAGTCTTTCTGACCCCTAGGTGGCCCGCTGTTTTTTGCTTTTTCGTGCAACTCCTTCAAAATGCTTAATCGAAGCGAGGCTGGGATGACTGGCTTATACTCAAGATTTTCGTTTGTTGTTTTCGTATAGAATAATAAATTATCTATTATTTCATAGTTTTTGCTCTATTTCTATTTCTTATCGCATCGATATCTGTGCTCAAAGCTTTCGGGGTCTTTCAAATAAGCATAGATATTTCCAAATTCAGGATCAGCTTTCAGTTCAGTAATAACCGTATCTCTAGAATCTAAAATTTTTGAAGTCAACACAGCGCATTTAAGTTCATTTCCTTCATCGTCC